ACTATCTGGACTCCATTTTCTCCCCCTTGGTCCAGGAACTCCCTACCGATGTCCATGACACCACCCCACGCCCTCCACCTCCTCCAGAACTTCCAATTCCCCGGTCCCCAACACCTCATCTTTACCATGGACGTCCAGTCCCTCTACACCTGCATTCCCCATGCAGATGGCCTAAAGGCCCTCCGCTTCTTCCTGTCCTGCAGGCCCGACCAGTCCCCCTCCACTGACACCCTCATCCGCTTAGCCGAACTCGTCCTCACCCTCAACAACTTCTCTTTCAATTCCTCCCACTTTCTACAGACAAAGGGGGTGGCCATGGGTACCCGCATGGGCCCAAGCTACGCCTGCCTCTTTGTAGGTTACGTGGAACAATCCCTCTTCCGTACCTGCACCGGCCCTAAACCCCACCTCTTCCTCCGTTACATTGATGACTGTATCGGCGCCGCCTCGTTCTCCCACGAGGAGCTTGAACAGTTCATCCACTTCACTAACATCTTCCACCCCAACCTTAAGTTTACCTGGACCATCTCTAATACCTCTCTCCCCTTCCTGGACCTCTCTGTCTCCATATCGGTCAACCATCTAGAAACCGATATTCACTTCAAGCCCACGGATACCCACAGCTACCTAGAATACTCCTCCTCCCACCCACCTTCCTGCAAAAATGCCATCCCCTATTCCCAATTCCTTCGCCTCTGCCGCATCTGCTCCCAGGATGAGGCATTCCACTCCCGTACATCTCAGTTGTCCTCGTTTTTCAAGGACCGTAACTTCCCCCCCTCAGTGGTCGAGAACGCCCTCAACCGTGTCTCCCACATCTCCCGCAACTCATCCCTCACACCCCGTCCACGCAATAAGAACCAAAAAAGAATCCCCCTCGTCCTCACATACGACCCCACCAACCTCCGGATCCAACGCATCATCCTCCGACACTTCCGCCATCTGCAATCCGACCCCACCACCAAAGACATCTTTCCCTCCCCACCCTTATCTGCTTTCCGGAGGGACCACTCTCTCCGTGACTCCCTTGTCCGCTCCACACTCCCCTCCAGCTCCACCACACCCGGCACTTTTCCCTGCAACCGCAGGAAGTGCTACACCTGCCCCCATACCTCCTCCCTCACCCCCATCCCAGGCCCCAAGAAGACTTTCCACATCAAGCAGATGTTCACCTGCACATCTGCTAATGTGGTATACTGCATCCGCTGTACCCGATGTGGAATCTTCTACATCGGGGAAACCAAGCGGAGGCTCGGTGACCGCTTTGCAGAACACCTACGCTCGGTTCGCAATAAACAACTGCACCTCCCAGTCGCGAACCATTTCAACTCCCCCTCCCATTCCTCAGACGACATGTCCATCCTGGGCCTCCTGCAGTGCCACAACGATGCCACCCGAAGGTTGCAGGAACAGCAACTCATATTCCGCTTGGGAACCCTGCAGCCCAATGGTATCAATGTGGATTTCACAAGTTTCAAAATCTCCCCTCCCCCTACCGCATCCCAAAACCAGTCCAGCTCGTCCCTGCCTCCCTAACCTGTTCTTCCTCCCACCTATTCCCTCCTCCCACCTCAAGCCGCACCCCCATCTCCTACCGACTAACCTCATCCCGCCCCCTTGACCTGTCCGTCCTCCCTGGACTGACCTATCCCCTCCCTACCTCCCCACCTAAACTCACCTTTACTGGCCCCATCGCCGCCTCTTCGACCTGTTTGTTTCCTCTCCACCTATCCTCTCCTGTATCCATCTTCTATCCGCCTCCCACTCTCTCCCTATTTATTTCAAAACCCCCTTCCCCTCCCCCTTTTCTGATGAAGGGTCTAGGCCCGAAACGTCAGCCTTTCTGCTCCTATGATGCTGCTTGGCCTGCTGTGTTCATCCAGCTCTGCACCTTGTTGTCTCGGATTCTCCAGCATCTGCAGTTCCTACTATCTCACGTCAGCTTTCCTGTTCCTCTGATGCCGCTTGGCCTGCTGTGTTCATTCAGCTCTACACCTTGTTATCTCAGATTCTCTGGCATCTGCAGTTCTGACTATATGTCACAAACACAGTTCAGTTCTTAGCATATCAAGAAAACAAATAAGAGTTTGACTTTATCCAAACAAACCCAAGGCATCTCTTACTTGAACCAGACTATATTTACATCCATTTGAGGCACTGACAGGGTCCAATAACTGAACAGACCCCCATTTACCTTCAGCAGGAAGACCTTAGACAGTAGTCTTTCCCCACTGCACCTTGGTGGCAGTTGCCCCAAGCTTTAGTAAGTCCCTCAGCACATACTCCTGGACATTGGAATGTGCCAGTCTGCAACACTCAGTCGAGGTCAAATCCTTGTTCCAGAAGACCAATAAGTTTCAGGCAGAGCATCTTCCACCGAGCCTCTTTGCAAATGTGATCTAGTCATGATAGAATCCCTACAGTGTGGAAACAGGCCCTTTAGCCCAACAAGTCCAGATCAACCCTCCAAACAGCATCCCACCCAGACCTATCCCTCTACCTTTTCCCCGTGATCCTGCATTTCCCATGGCTAACACATCCCTGAACACTAGCCAATCCACCTAGTCTGCATATCTTCGGACTATGGGAGGAAACCGGAGCACCCAGTGGAAGCCCACACAGACATGGGGAGAACATGCAAACTCCACACAGACAGTCGCCCAAGGGTGGAATCAAACCCAGGACCTTGTGTTGTGAGGCAACAGTGCTAACCATTGTGCCACCCGAACGGACCCCATTCTTCTGTTTATAACAGTACAGGGGGATCTCACTCAGAGTCGGACTTCCAATGCCATGTTACTGTGACAGATGTTCCCCACACCCCCACAAAGCTTTTGAGATAGTTGACCACAGCATCCTCCTCTGTCCTATGCCCACACAGGACTAACGACAGACTTCTTCCAGTCTCTTCTAATCGTAACCAAAATATCACTTTCAGTGTCTGCTCTTCCCACTCCCTGAGATTAGCTCTCGAGTCCCTGATGGATCGAGTCTTGTGTCTGCATGTTTCTCATCCCCATATTGCCACACAGCTCCCTCATCCGACACATTCTCCAAGATGGCAACTGGGTAGGACACACTAGCCAGAGCTTGGCCGCTCTGTCCATTGCTTTTTTTTCTTCCCTCTTGTGTTTTTCTTCTCTCCTGTCTTTTTTCCTCTTCTGCCAATGGAGCAGAGTGGGAGCAGAGGCCAGTGAGCCGGAGCAGAGCAGGGACGGTGGCCAGTGGTCCAGAGTGAAGTTGGCTACTGTTTGCAAACCAGTAGAGCCTGGTCAGACCACATGGAAGCCCTTGTAGAAAGACTGTAATGTCCATCTTTTTAGCTTTATTTCTTATTTTCCTGACTTATACTATGTATATCGGTAATGTAACCTAACTTATTTTCTTTTTTTATCTATTTTTATATCTAAGATTTGTACCTAAGATGATGCTGTGTTCGTGACATTGTACACGTTTCACTGTACTCCTGTTCTTTTGTAACTTGAGTAATATACCTGACAATAAACCTAATTCTAACATTGTTGGTTTTCACATGTACGGTCAACCTCACCAACTCCTCTTTCAAGCAAGCCACTGCTGCTGACTTATCTGCTCATCCAGCTCTCCAGTATTAGATGAGCAGAAATTTTCTCCCATTTAACTTTGATAAAGACTTAAACCATTGTTTTCAACTCTCACAGATTGTGTTCCCTAGCTACCAATTCCATTTCCCACCTTGCCAAGTCTGTTGAC